AGCATTAGGGTATCTTAACTCGGAATACCCACCTTGTGACGCCACCACGGAAAAGCCGCACGACGAGAGCTTTGCACAAACAACTTGGTATCAAATCACTCTCCGCAGTTTCCACTGACACAGTCACCTGCTGGCCTCTTCACAGGAGCTTTCAAGAGCAGAGTAAACCGATATGGCTTCAGTGAGCGTAATCGAGATGAACGTCAGCCCAGTATCAGATATTTTTGGTTGACTTTGATCAGACCATCCGTGGTGTGTGTGTGTTTGTGTGTGCGCGCGCGCGCTCCTGTCAGTGGGGCTTTACGATGCATGCAGCTGCGGAGGCAATATGGCCTCGCCTGCCTCTCACCCTGGCAGGAGAGATGGGCACCGCGGGAAATCGAGCCCCACACCTCTGGTTTCTTAGGCGCGCAGTGGCAAATGCAGGCGCTTAAACCACTGCACTACAGACAGCTTCAACCCAGGGTAGGCTTGGTGGCAGGTAAGTCCTCCCACCGGACTCCTCGCACCGACTGAGGCGACAGACACCACCTACAGCAGTCCTGCGTCTCACAGGAGGAAACCCAGGGAGCCCCACGGACGTCAGAGACGGTCGCTTGCGCTAGCCGTGGCACCCCGGGGTACCGGTGGCTACTCGTGACTACCGGTAGTCACGCTGCCTGTGGAAGCCACTCTAGAGAGTCGATCGGCTGAGTAGCCCGTCTGGACCGTGCCGCACACCAAGCCGACGGCTCTGGCCGGGCTGATCTTTCGTCCCCCGCGGCACGGGCACACATCTTCTCACGGGTGCCGCGGTATGGGCACACATCTCCTCACGGGTGCCGCGGTATGGGCGCCCATCTCCGCTCGGGGCCGCGGTATGGGCACACATCTCCTCACGGGTGCCGCGGTATGGGCACACATCTCCTCACGGGTGCCGCGGTATGGGCGCCCATCTCCTCACGGGTGCCGCGGTATGGGCGCCCATCTCCGCTCGGGTGCCGCGGTATGGGCACACATCTCCTCACGGGTGCCGCGGTATGGGCGCCCATCTCCGCTCGGGTGCCTCGGTATGGGCCACATCTCCGCTCGGATGCCGCGGGTATGGACGCCCAGCTCCGCACGGGTGCGCGGTATGGGCGCCCACCTCCGCTCGGTGCTGCGGTATGTATGGGTACACATCTCCGCTCGGGTGCCGCGATATGGGCGCCCCACCTCGCTCGGGTGCCGCGGTATGGGCGCTCATCTCCCGCACGGGTGCCGCGGTATGGGCATCCATCTCCGCTCGGGTGCCGCGGTAGGGGTACACATCTCCGCTCGGGTGCCGCGGTATGGGCGCCCACCTCCGCTCGGGTGCCGCGGTATGGGCGCCCACCTCCGCTCGGGTGCCGCGGTATGGGGTACACATCTCCGCTCGGGTGCCGCGGTATGGGCGCCCACCTCCGCACGGGTGCCGCGGTATGGGCGCCCACCTCCGCACGGGGTGCCGCGGTATGGGCGCCCATCTCCGCACGGGTGCCGCGGTATGGGCGCCCCCACTCCGCTCGGGGTGCCGCAGTATGGGCGCCCATCTCCGCACGGGTACCAGCAGCGCCGGCACACACCCCTGTACGGCCACTGCAGCACGAGTGCCCACCTCTGTAGGGGAACCACAGCACGGGCACCCGAAACCATGCCGGCACCGGTCATAGCACTCAACGCTGGCGAATTTCCGGCAGGTTGGGAAAGCTTAGGACATTAAGATGTTCACCTTGTGGTTGCCCGAGAGGGTGAATGATGAACGAACCAACTTGGCGAAAGTTGAGCGGAGAACGAGCGGAGAACCTGAAAAAATCACCCCGTGGATTGATTTTGAGCAAACACGTGCCTTGTGATCTATAGACCAAGAATACACATTAAGACAGTAAGTAATATGAGATTCAGTGGCGTCCTAAAGGAGTTTTGTGGAACACTGGAGGTTAACTAAGATGTAGCGAGAGAGAAATGATGGTGCCGGCAGGACGGAACAACATCACACACATACCAGAAATCCCAGCACGGATAGCCAGCTAACTTCGGGAAGCGTCTTATATTCCTAAAACCTGAAGCCATGTGGGCCCCTTGCACCCTAACCTAATCTAACCTAATCACACTCAACTTCCACGTGGAGTATGCTGCAAAGACAATATATGCAGGAAAACGTCACTGGGCTACCGCAGAAATGAAAGCAGAAATATATGATCACACCAGATTGACTAACCCAGCGGAGTGCAGCGCAGAGACCGACTTCTCACACCGCTTCCAAATCTGCAATTAACGACATGGCTCACAGATAGAGCACAGCATGTCATGGTTCTTAACGATGAGTGGACTTAACTCGCCCTGATAGGGGGGAGGGAGAATAAAATAAAACCTACTTCTTGTGAAGGTCCAAGGAAGAAGTCATACGAATGCGCAGGATGTTGCATATCCAGGCATGTGCAGGGAAATTCGAACGCGCTTTTCAGTTGAATAACTGCATGAAAATGCCTCTTTTCAGTCATGCTTGTGGGCTAAAAACCAGGTGCCGGTGGGGAGGGGGAGCAACGATGGGCTAGGGAGGGCAAGTTTCTGAAAAGGTCTTATTTTTAAAAGCTCAATATTTTGCTTCATCTTACTTAAATGACTGTTTTAAATCTGTCTTCATTACGCCAAAACTGCCAGATTTTCTTCCGTGTTTAGACATATGCCATCTTGCATGACTGGCCTTCTTGGGTCCTGGGGAGGGGGCGGATGTGGCTGACTTATCCCTTTCTGAATCCGTCCTCTTTCATGTCTGGAACCGATTTCACAACCGGAGCATTAAGCAGCACTTAGTTTTCTTGCAATTGTTAGAGCTTGGCTTGCAGCATGTTTACCTTTCGGTGAAATAAATGTAATGTGCAACCAACTGCAAAATCTTAGACATGTTAAAATTTTGATTCCTATAGTCAACACCAGAGCAGAAGTGAGCTTTCTTTTACATTCCAAAGCTTCATAATTATTACCCTACATCATTTTCATGAGGCTCCACCACTGTTCCTGAGTCCGAAGTATTCCTAATGCAGCGAAATCATCAAGCAAAAATTTACAGCCAGAGCTGCGACAAGCACAGCGATCAAATGAGGACTCAAACGCGTTCATTACTTATAGAGGAGCGCAGTCATTCCTGCACACACATTTCAGCGCTCAAACGCGGTAGTGTGCTAAGGGTTGGCCGGTAGGTTTATATCTCAGTGATGCTTAATACCTTCGTTGTGGACAAGACTAGATACCAAGACGCCACACCGACTTCTCAAATATTTCCAAGTCCTGGGTAGATTTATTATACTAAGAAATACAACTGAGTGCAAATTCCGCCACCCGAAAGTTTCAGCGCGACGCGGCTTTGTGCTTAGAAGTTGTGGAAAAACACTATTTTGTGAGCAATTTCTCTCTGAGTTTTGTGCAGACCCCTACTTGTAGCAATATCTTTAATCGTACGGCAATAAAAAGACGGCGTTAGCCGAATGATAGGAATGCATTCATTTCTGAGTCCCCACCCAAGTCCACATGCTTATCCATCCCTTACTAAACTGCGCCCTGTGCATTAACTTGTTTTCCATGCATTCTTAAGAATGATGCCGGCTTTTGACGGTTTAAACATTTTCCAGTTTTTCTGACACTGACAATTTTGGCACTGGGCTGGGACAAGGGCGCGCGTACACAACACAGACATGTTTCGTGCGCCGCAATATAAAATATGTTAACCTCTACCTTTGCAGCGCCTGCCACGCCGGCTTTGAACGAGCACTTTGATCATTCAAACAAAGACCCAGCTACGGTCTACAAAGGACTCGATCCACGGACGTCTGGGTGCTCCATTTGGACATCTCCGCACGTCTCAGGTTGCGGTGGTACGCAACACCTCCGCCCCGGAGATAGACTTCTCTCCATACCTCGTAGTTCCAATGGCCTATGGAGGTATAGCGCATGTGACAGCTGGACATTATCTGCTCTCTTAGGCGGAAAAAACACGAAGGTATTATGTGGTCTTATTCCACAAGATATACTTTAACCTTGGGCATGAGTAAGTGCTGTCGCTATCGTGGCCGTGTTGCTGGCGATGGGTCTTTGTAGGTAGCCATTTCAAGTGGCGTCGTTGCCTTGCATCCGCCGTTAGGCTGTCATGATTTCAATTAAATAAATAGCGATTTAAAACCTTGGTTGGGGATAAGGTTTTATTTCGCGAATGCGTACGAACTACTCGTCATCGGCTATTGACCATCAGCCCTCACTTTTGAAAGGCCGGAGGGGATTTCATGGCTATGGAGACGCAATTGAGATGTGCGCACAGTTGGTCGCATGGGACAAACCGAACCAGACAACCAGTTAATCGAGGTCAATTAATTTCACGGATAACAAGCCCTTGTATCCTGGCAAACATCGTCTGCGGGGTTGGGAGAACGCTGCAGACGCCCTAAGCGAGACAGGCGTTTAGGCCAGCTGCTCATGTATTGTCATGTACCTGATCCTGTCGTGACACCGTCTAGCGCAGTTGGACGATTCATGCTTTTCCGTTGCTTGGTCTCTCCAAACAGAAAAGTCAAGATGCTCCTATACCACAGGTATGCACTTCAGTGCGGACGCGAGACCGGTGCCCACTACATGCAGGGATGATAGTGCACAACATGCTGTGGTATGGAAGCGCTATTCGCAATGCCCGGTGCAGTTATGTCTGATGACAAAATCGCCTCACATACACTGTGCGCAAAAGTGTGCAACCCGATCCCGTGTGCAAAATCACTTGCGCAGAACGCCATCCGTTCAATGCCAGTGACACACATTAGAAGGCGCACAAATAACTCGCACGCATGGCGGACGTGCTAGCAATCTGCGCCAGATGAAACCTGCGGGAGTGGTAGGTGTCGCCCGGTCCGATTTGTCATCCTGCGGGCGACCCTGGGTGGGCTTCTGGCGGCTTCTGATAGCAGTTGCGGCATAAGCCGCCAGTTATCGGGCCTCTCGCAGGGCGTATAAAAGCGCGGCGGCGGCGGAACGCGATAAGCTGGTCGGCGTTCGCAGGCGGCGTCTCGCTCTCCGGCGCTGCCGTTTGTCCGCGGCCTGCTGCAGGTAAGCGCGGTGGCCGGACGGCTTCTGATTGGTCAAAATGTGTGAAGTATCCACTTGTTAGGGGCTCTTTTCTGAATCCTGTCCTTTGATGGGGAGGGGTGGGTACCGGTTCCTCATCTGAGCGTGCCGTTTTCTGCAGCTGAGAGACGGGCAGTGGACTGTAATGTGAATCCCAGTACTGGAAGTTCACCGTTCAAGTCATCAATGTCTTTCAGCCATTAACAAAAAGGAAGCGATGTCGAATGCACCGCTCTCGTAAATGCATCCAATGCGGCTCAGCTTGTGGTGACCAGTCTAGCTTAACTCGTGCAGTGCCACATGACCGCAGCGTGTTTTTCTTTTCCCGCAGCTTGCACTTAGCTGGTCCGACCAAACTCCTCACAAGCCACCATGCTGCGTTTGCTGCTGCTCTGCGCGTGCTTGGGAGCCCTGGAGGCCGCCGCCGTTGAGGTCCACGAAACCAGCAAGAGCACCGGCGGCAACTCCTCTCCAATCAGTCTGCTGCTCGAGAACTCCAAGGCCAACGTCAGTCAGAGACGCGAGATCGGCTGATAAAGAGCGCTACGATCAGTCGCCGAAATAGCTGTTTTGTGCTGTACATTGGTTCGCAGCCGGGGCAGGACGTGCTGCATCGAGCGTCGGTATGTTGGCGCTGACTGTATGTCCAGCGCACCGTTTTCCAGAGGTCGGTGTCTCAGAACATCCGTCCATCTTTCAGGGAATTCAGATGTTCATAGGGAACGTCGCCGTAGGGACGCCTCCCCAGGTCATGTCGGCAGTCTTCGACACACAACACGCCCTCAGTTATTTCCCGTCCATCAAATGCGAAGATCCGGGATGCAAGATGCGCAAGCGGTATGACTCATCGATATCATCTACCTACAAGGTAAGGGCGTATGGGTGATATCCATAGGCCCGCTCGGTCGTGATGGATGAGCGTGCAGAAGCACCTGCATGTTTTAACGTGGACCGCGGGGTGCATGAAGACGCGACAGAGAGTATTTTTTCATGATCTTGATTAGGTCTTGGCCTAGGCCTATAGGTCTATTAGGCGTGTTATGCCTATTAGGCCTTGATATTGTATCACGCCAACCCAAAGTTCCGAGCAGAACCATTACGGAGGAAAGGAGTTTGTGACTTTGAACATCTGTCATCTTGAATATGTGTCGATAATTTGCACATGTGTAAAGTATCCACACCGACATCTTCCTCCAGACACCGTCCAAGCAAAGAGAATATATACGTGATCAGTTCCGAACAAACCAAACCTCCTCTATGTGCTTGCTATTCTATGGCATCCCCGCGACCGAGGGGCCATGCAACTGAACGACGAAACAGGGCCCATCATCTCCTATCACGAGGCCATCTGCGTCGCTGAATGGCACCCATCCTGCCATAGGAGGACGGCACACCGTTCACCCTACCCGGCCAGAACATCAGCGGATTCCTGTCCACGGACTCGCTGCACGTAGCCGGTAACACCGTCGCCTCCCAGACGTTCGGCGAGGGGACCTCCGACAACAACACCTTTGACCAGATGACACGGAATGACGGCACGCTTGGCCTCGGCTTCGGTAACGACACCCTGCTGACGATGGTGAACCAGGGCCTCATCCCGGAGCAGGTGTTCGGGCTCTGGCTGGGCCGCGACCCGCAGGGCGGCGAGCTCAGCCTCGGCGCCGTCAACAAGGACCTGTACAGCGGCGAGATGACCTGGGCCAACATTGTGAATTCCGCTGCCTCCTGGACGGTGATGGCGGATAGCATCGCGCTCGACGGCCACCCGGAGGCGGCGCTCTGCCCGGACGGCTGCAGCGTCATCATGGCCTCCACCACGCCCTACTTCATGGTGTCCCTTGAGCGAGCGAAGGCGATCAGCGACATCCTGGGCGGCAACAGCGGTTGCCAAACACGCCCGGCTTCTACTTCTTGGACTGCGCACACGCTGAGCGGCCTGCCCACCATGCAGATAAAGATCGGAGGGCGCATGATGGAGATGACGCCGCAGCAGTACACGTTCGTCCTGACTTTTGGCGGCCAGCAGCTATGCGCCTCCGGCTTCTTCGGCCTTCCGGCGCTTACTGACCAGTGGCTCTTCGGCACCCTCTTTATGCAGCAGTTCTACACGGCCTACGACGTGGAGAATGGGCGTGTTGGATTTGCTGATAGTGTCTAAGCCGGCTTGAGCCTAGTTCTGGTGATGCCTGTTGACGGGGTGGTCGACTTGTTTCTCTCAGAAACATCGGCGAGTTGCATGCCTAGCCGAGCTTGTTAGCCGTCTGTATCACTCGTGTGGTTCATGTAACGCCGTCCGAAAAACTGTCAACGTGCGTCTCGCTGTTTTTGTCACTGGCTGTCCGAACGTCGGAGCAGTTGGACGTTAGATGGCCCGACTGTGCGTTGCATGAAATTGACACAAAACAGCCTGCAAAAAGGAACAACAGGACGGAAAATAAAGCATGTGCGCAGATGACCTATGCTTGCACTCGCCTTCTTATCTCAATGCTCGTTGGATAAGGATGGAATATATGTTAAACAATGGTGTGAGTCATGGTCCTAGATGAATCGACCGTACTGGCTGGCGTCAGTGGTGAGGCGCCTCATCTCGAAGTTGAATCGACGACTGACAGCTGCTTGGGCGCTTCTTTGCGAGCAGCTAATGAAATGCATAACAAATTGTTCACGCCTCAGCGAAAAGATTCGCAGTTATTCAACCCGCAAGATCGCTATCTGCCCCACCCCGGACAGGTCAGGTCACAGGTCAGGACCCCGGACAGGTCACGCTTACAATGTGTTCGCTGCGAAAATCATCGCCTCTCTTTCTGTTTTTCTTTCTCTTTGGTAAAATACTAAGTTCTGATTGTTTCAGACGAATCGACCGTGTTCGGTACACGCATTTATTCTGATAGACGTACAAACGCACTGCTGGAAAATGCTGAAAAATGTGCTGTATAGCTACCAAATTAGAGAGGTTTCTTACTGTGTTCTCACGCAACCACTGCTACAACCCAAAAATTGACAAGCATAATGAATGCGTATTAAACACAGAAGTGGTATACATGAAGGAACAGGCGCTCTTAACGTGTAAGCATATGAAAGAATGCCATAAAAACGAGCCAGGGAGCTGGGCATTGAAAAGATAGGCATTGAAATGTATGCTTAAGATAACGCAATGTGGATTTTTTTATTTCTGGGATATGGGCGCAATCATGACTATGGGATTGCAGGAATCATCAGGGGTGACGGGGTGAGGCTAGAACCTAAAGGAGACAACCAGAACTGAAAATGTCATTTTTAATTCGAAGGTCTAAAAAACGGGTTTTTATTGACAAAATGGGGGGGGACAAATCACACACACATGGGCACACAGTACAGGTAAAAAGGGGCGGAAATAACGTATTCCGTCTCGCAATATCGTTAATCTGTCCATAGGACAACCACAAAATTGTAAAAAAGATTTGCCCCGTGTAATCTTTGAAAAGTGCGAATTGACTCTGAAAGATATTCAGAAACATCATTTTATGATGGTCGTTGTGGCGCGCGCGGTGCCTGCCCTCTGGCGTCGTTTGCAGGGGCCAACGCCGGTCAGTTTTACGAAAACTGCAACCGAAGCCATCGCTGTCCTGGCTTCCCGAGGTCGCGGGCGTGTCATTGGGGCTTTATGACGCACTCATCTGCTGTGGCTATATGGCGCCGCCTGCCTTACCCTGGTGGGAGGGGCGGGCATTGCGCGGAATCGAACACCGTACCTCTGGTTGCCTAGACGCGCAGTGGTCAACACATGTGTGTTAACTACTCCACTGTCGGTGCCCGGCACGCAGGCTCAAACATTTCGATGTTATTTCTTTCACCAGTCGATTCTGCAAAAGACTGTGCGTTCTCAGGCACACATGGGCTGGCCTTGTGCGTTTTCAAGCTAATTTCGTCTCTTTTCATTTAATACTTATGAAACCCGCTATTTCTTTCTGGTGAAGGGGTCCGTTGAGTAGAACACTACGGGCCACATTGTTGTTCCCGGTCAAGGGTTGAAGGGTCAGTCCTGTCCCAACGTGGGTGCGCCGTCCAGTCATCATTCTGGCGCCGCTGGCAGGATTTCCTGGCCAATCCGGCGACTCTTAGAGGGATATATCTTACTTATTTGTTCCCCTCCCTGACACAGGAGGCCTCTTGACCGGCGCAGTTGGCCCAGGCTCGCCGCATGAGCCCTCACTGATGTCACAACATCCCTGATCGCCGAAGGTAGTCAAATAATTGGCACATAGACTTCAGTTCGGCTCATTAGACCCATGCTAGAGTTGGGTTGGAGGACTCGCCGTTCGGTACTGGGTCCCTAACTGGCACAGGACCCTTCTATTGCCTTAAGGTGAGAACTAATAGTAAGTTCTTATGTTTCCCTCAGTTGTCAGAGTGTCTGGACCAACACAAGAGACCCTCTGCCATTCGGGCTCCCGTCCCCGTCCTTGTTCGGCAATGCTTCCTCTGACCAATTCGAGGCCCACTGTCGACACAGAATACTCTGCTAGGCACTCTTGGTCCTTGAACGACACAGGAGTCACGACCAATGTAAATCGCGCGCCCGGCATTGTTCGTTCTTGGGAAAGGCCCCAGAGCTCAGCACGACGCGGAGCCGATTGGCCGTTGTTCGTGATCTCTGCCCGAAATAGAGGAACGCTCTGTCTCAGGGGTCCCTATCGGTGCCCGAGATTTCCATTTGACCCATTTGGGATCACGGCCCTAGGGGCAGGGGTCCTTAATGTGACCTACAACCAGCCCATCAGACCTTCGGCCATCCAATTGGGCTCTTGATCACTGGTCTCGAGAGAACATTTGTCCTCTCTTCGGTCTCCCTCAAACACCGCTCCGACTCGGGGTCACTTGCCACCACAGGACCCCTTTCAGGCACTGGCCCCTGACCGACGCAGGAGTCCTCACTGTGTAAGGGACACCGAGAATCGTAAATCGTGGGCCTCGGTCTCGTTCCTGTGTAGAAGGCCGCCACGTCGAAGACACCGAGGTTTCAGGTGCACTATATTTCATGACCGCCCATCGCCAACACCGCGCCTCAACTCCTCGTGGACGCTGACGGGAAATAACGAAACCTCAGAAAGGGACAGACTAGACATAGAATTAAACAGAGCAGAAACCGACAGAACAGACTAAAATTAGCAATGCAAAATGAATACGAAAATAGCATGGACTGACTAACACTAAATTAGACCTCAAGATAATAGCAAACTAAGTGACTCACAAACGAGAAACGAGCACTAAATCAAACTAGACATGCAAGCGATACACCTACTACACCCGACCCTGTTAACAAAAGAGACTCCACTATGCAATCTTCCGTCGCAGCGCACGATCGCAGAGCACGGCCGCAAAACACCGACGCGGAGCTCGGCCGCAGAACACCGAAGCAGAGCTTGGCCGCAGAGCTCGTCCGCATACATCTCGGCCGAAGAGCTCGGCCGCGGAGCACAGCCACCGGGCTCGGCCCCCGCCGCGGGCATCACGGCCACGGAGCTCGGCCGCAGCGACGACCCATCTGCGAACGCTAGGTAAAACACACGATATACGCAGCACACGCAGCCCACAGTTCGGGATAAGTTAACCCACATCACACGCAATCCTTGGGCCGCGCGCGATGTAGTTTTCAGCTTCACTACCTGGAATAATAAAGAACAGCTTCAGCTTGAGGCATGACTGGGGTACTGGGAAACAGGGTTCGTGAAGTCAGTGAGCAGCACTCCAATGACATGCCATGCCCATCTGCACTGTCCCGTTAACAGGACACACCAACCGGTAGCGCTACACCGGTAGGCCTGCGAAGACATTGCCAAATACGACGCCAGAATAACACCCAGACGGTACATTTTGTCCTGATATAATCCCATTGCATTTCATTCGTTTCCATTGCATTTTAGCCACATTTAGCCAAACTTAAGCAAATCTTAAGTAACGACTTAACTCGGACAATAGTGACGCGGCGGCCTAGAAGCCCTGTCAGAGCGCCGGGGGGCTGGCACAGGAGCAGGGGCCATCGGAGACACATCAGGGACCAACACAGGAGCGGTCACGGGCCCATCAGGCACCAACACAGGTCCGGTCAGTGGTCCATCTCCACCATCCGGAGCAGAAACAGGAACATCAAGCCATCAGGGGTGTGCTCACACACACGTCCCTCCGGAACCGCAGCGGATAAATCCTGCACCTCTGGCGGAACCTCGCCGGCTGGAAATGTGTCACGAGCAAACGGCGACAAGTACGACTCGCCCTCCGGTGACGCGCCATCTGGTGGCTGAGGTGATCGGGGTGAAGGCTGATCTCCAGCCTCGGGGTCCGCAGATAACGCCGAGCCTGGCATAGTCATGTCTGGGCCTGCGACAGGCACTGGGGGGTCATCGGAACGAGGCTTCAGTCTATTGTGGTGAACAACGACAGGCTTTTTCCCTCCCAACACCCTCACCCTGTAATTGAGGTCAGACAGCTTAGCCATAACCACCGCAGGCTTCCATGGTCTGATAAACTTGTAGTACTGGCCTCGCTGAGCTAGACCCTTGAAAAGATACACTGCGTAACCAGCCTGAAAGTGGTACATGGTCAGCTTCTTGTCAAACAATCTCTTGTTGCGCGCATGACGCTTGTTTGAGGCCTGCAGCGCAAACTTGTGAGACAGTTTGATCCGCTCTGCGAGTCCGGACAGATACTCAGAAATCGTGGCGCATTTGGGGACAGCAGATGGTGTCTGGATTCGCAGTGAAGAATGTACCTTGGCTCTGTATCCGAGCATGAGCAGAGGTAAGTGAGCGTCCCAGTCGCCATGGTTCTCGTCCAAGTACTTTGCCAACATGTCCATTATCGTTCGCATCATTCTCTCGCACTTTGAATCCCCTCAGGATGGAAAGCAGAGCAATGCGTTTTCTCAACACCCAGCAATCGACAAACCTCAGCCAGAAGAGTGCCAGAGAAATTCGCAGCATTGTCTGAATGAATGCGGCGGGGGCATCCGAAACGCGCGATAAATTGGTTGACAATCACACCAGCAACAGTGGCGGCGTCATGCCGGGACCGGAAACACTTCACACTAGCGAGTAAAATGATCACAGACCACCAGAAGATGCTTGTTCCACGGGCCGTCGTGGCAGGCCACATAGAAAATCGATAGACACAGTCGCAAAA